CAAGACACGATTGCTTCAAAAATCCATTGCCTGAGGTCAAAGCCTAGGAAATGGAAAATGTAATTTCAGAAAAAGATGAGAGCAAGTGCTGAGGCGTGAATTTTTAATCACAGGTTAGTACAACTGACTAACACTTATGTAAGATAATTGTTTTGCTATTTAGACCTGATATTTGTATTTCTGGAACTAAAGTTCAAAACGAAGCTATGTTTCCACTTTCTCTAAAAATCAGAGGGGCTGTTGGATTCTGGAAGAAAATAATTAATTTTTATTATTTTTTTTTTTTAAAAGCAGGGAAATAATGCTGCGTGACAGGTACAAATGGAGATTGCAATAGTTAAAGGATCTGTCCCGTCTAGAACCATATGAACCTTTGAGTTCCGTCTAGCGTTTACTTACATTACAAAAGAATTGCAGCACACTGGTACTATCACCTTTATTTGTATTGAAATCCATGTAACATACATACAGTATTCTAACAGATCAGGTTTGTTTCACGATGTGTCAGCACAGGATTACGTGTAGCTGTGACTCAGTGTTGCCATTTCGGTTGCACCATCATGATGAAGCAAACGTAAATATAAGATCAGGATGTTGCACTCGTCTTTTCCCCTTTCCCACCCTACCCCCTTTATTGTTATGAGGTTGAGGAAAGCATTGTTTGTGTATCTCTTTTTGGAAAGGTATGGGGGCATAAAGGCCATTTTCTTTCCCTTGTGGGAGGGGCAATTGGTTCGTGTGGGTTCCCACATCACCACTCCAATTACTCAGCGCAGCTTTCTGTGTGTTGGCAAATTCAGGGAGCGTGCAATTCGTGGACAGCAGGAACAGCCCAGTGGCTGGGGCACTGGTCTAAGACTTGAGAGACTAGGGTTCAATTTCCTGCCCTGTAACAGACTTCCTGTGTGGTCTTGGGCAAGCCACTCATGCCTCAGTGCCCAATCTGTAAAATGGGGATAATACTTTCCAACCTCACCAGGGTGTCGTGCAGTGGTGAGCTGGAGCCGGTTCGCGCGAACCAGTTGTTAACCCGCTTCCCTGCGGGGGGCACTGAGGCTTTGATGGGCTCCGGCTGGGAAGTGATGTAATTCCTCCTCCGGCCGCCAGGGATGCTGCGCTGAGGGAGCCATGTGGACTGCCGCCTGGCCCTGGGCACGAGCCCTGTTGTTGCTGCTGCTCCCCTAACCCCTGGCCCTGGGTTCCCGATGCTGCCTGGTGGGTCCCTGGCTGCTCTGCTGGGCCTGGGCTGTGTCCTGCTGCTCTGAGCCGCTCTCCCCATGAGCACCCACCACCTGGCCCACAGCCCCTGCCCCGCCTGCAGCCAGCCCCTGCTGCACCCCCTGCCTGCACCAGCCTGTCTCCAGCCACCCCTGTACCCCTGCCCGCAGCCAGCCCCTGCCGCACGCACCCCCTGTACCCCTGCCCGCAGCCAGCCCCACACCCCCTTGCCTCGAGCTAGCCCCGCTCCACACCCCTGTCTGCAGCTGGCCCAACGTCCACTGGTGCCCTGCAGTTCCCAGGGCAGTAACCCTGCACACCTGCTTCAATGAGGGGGGCAGGGAGCAGCTGGGACTCTCACATGTGCACACCCTAGGGTGACCAGACTGCAAGTGTGAAAAATCAGGATGGGGGTGAGGGGTAATAGGAGCCTATATAAGAAAAAGACCCTAAAATTAGGACTGTCCCAATAAAATCGGGACATCTGGTCACCCTAGCACACCCCCAGGGAGTGGCAGGGACCCACACATGTGCAACGGAGCTCATTTCTAGTTCAGGCCCATCTTTTTAAAAAAAAAACTTTAGGCAGGGTTAACATACATCCGTATTGTCCCGGACAGGTCAGGCTTTTTGGTTTTTAAATCGCCGTCAGGAGGAATTTTTAAATTTTAAAAATTCCTCCTGGGAAAAATAGGGATGTATGGTAACCCTGTTGATACAAAAAATACATACTGGGGCACATCCATTAAATCACAATTTTTCATAGGGAAGTGGTTGTTAAGATTTTGGCAGCTCATCACTGGTGTCGTGAGGATAACTACATTAAAGGTGGGGTGTTGCTCAGGTACTATAGTGATATATCTTAGACAGACATTCCTGTGAGCTGTGCTCTTCTCATTCTGAGACTTAAGCACCAATCAGACCTGCAGATTTTCCAGAGGTCCACACAAGCCAGCTCTTTGCTGGGTTGTGTATCACTGCACGTGAGGGCGGACAGGCAATGTGACCAATTTTTTTTACCCGCTCCTGTGTATTAGGCGTTTATTAAATCCACCACCTTTGAATAGCAGAAATGCGTGGTGACCGTACCACTTGGCATCCTCCACCAGATGCTTCCTATGAGTTTGGTGCTGCCCTTCAAACTATGGAAGCAGGTATAGGCTTTTTTAAAAAAATAAAAAAAAATTCACCTATTTGTTAGCCAATTTTACCTCCATTGTGTCGGAGCAGGGCTGAGGGTCCTTGTTTAGTCTATCTGGCCCCTGAATGTTGTTGCTGCTCTTAGGAAATACAGCTGTCAGTAGGTTTTCCTGGTTGCAAATATATGTTCATTAAGGACCGAAAATATTTAATTAAATTTTAATTCATAAAGTGAATACTACGAGGTTAATTATAGCTTTTTAGAGGCAGTGTATGGGATTTGGAGAGATTACCTTCTAGTGTTTAGCACAAAGTGTTGTCTCTTCCGCAAAGCTCTAATTAGCTGGCTTTTTTTTTTTAATAGCCAGTTTCCAAATGATTGCTCAGTAGCTCCCACTTTGTTCTTCATCAGCAGTTTCCCTAGCACAGCTGCTTCAGAACAGGAATATCCCTCCAGTTTGCACTGCAGGGACCAGACAGATTATTTATTACAAAAGGTGCAAGCTAATGGAAGAGCAAAATGCAGGCCAGCCTAGTTCAACACCTGCAATTGTCTCAAGAGAGGCTACTTCTAAATAAATAAATAAATAAAGGAAACAAACCAGAAGCATGAAAAAGAATAGACCCTTTGCAGATACGGGCAAGCAGCTACTCCAAGAGCACAATTCTCTTCTGAAATCTGCAGTGGTCGTCTCCAGTTGTCTAGTCTGCTTTCCATACATATGCCAAACTCCAACTATCATCAATGGAAGATGAGAGCACATGTGAAGAAAGCAGCATTTTGGAGCGGAGATCTATTGTGTGACTCTGAAGAATTTTTCCTCTAATCCTTTAGTTGTCTTCAACCCACACTTTTTTTCTTTTCTTTTTTAAAAGGTTAAAAATTTGACCTATCCTTCGATTGCCTATACTTTAAATCTGGCTACTTTCCAGTAATGTGCTGGATGCCTCAAAGAACAAGGGTAAGAAGGTCTGTTCAGCACATCATTAAAGCAAGGGCACATTTCCTACCCTAGGAAAGATCTCTGTAAACATATGGAGTAGCTTTTACTTAGACACCGACTTCACGCTGTGTTGGTGATATCACATGCTCCAGGAAAACTCACTGCACACTGGAACCAGACTACTGAAGTCTGTTTTGCTCCCCATATTTTCAACGTTATGCTACCGAATGAGTTAACAGCAAGTTAACACTGTTGGTTATTAGTGGGTAAAATTTTTCAAAGTGCAATAGGTGCTTAGATGCATAAATCTTATTGACTTTCAGTGACAGCCAGCTACTAAATGCCAAAGCCACTTTGGAAAATTTTTACCACTGCCTCTTAACATAGCAACTGCTTTGCTGCCCATGTGATGCTTACCCAGCTGGTGGATCTCTTAATCCAGGTGGAGTGCTATCCATATCACAAAGAGCCACCACAACTGTTGGAATCTCAGTTGAGAGGCCCCAACAATGAACAGATAGACACAGAGATACTTTACATGGCTATAAATAGTCCCCAGACTAGGTAAGAGGCATGTTGCCCAGGCAACGTGGGATAGCAGGCATTGTCACACACACACACACACACACCCCCGGCGGGGAATAGTTCTGCAGTTAAATGGAAGCCTCCCACCCAAAGCTGTAGATCTTTCATGAGGACTAAACTTACTTGTGTGCAAAACGCACCCTGCCTTACGACTCCTGGTTCAGCAGGGCACATGATGTTCCACCATACTGTATGCTGGTGACTTCAAGTGGAGTGGGACCTGGTGAAGTGTGAAGTTAAGACTAAGCCAAGGGCTGGGTAAGTTAGCAGCGTGCTATATGCCTCTTTCACTCTGGTTATTGGAGGGATTCAACACATTACTGGACTTTTCAAATCCTACATTGTTAAAGGAGCCTTCATCTAACTCTGCATGTTTGGGGGCCCATGAATGTGCATGTATAAAAATGATTTTTTTTTTCCTAGCACTGAACAATGGTTTTAAGCTGCACTTATTCTGACTCCTATGTAGTAACACAGTGTCTGTGCACAATGGGCCATATCTTGATGGCCTTATTCACACTCATTCAGTCCAGTGGTCTATTTGTGGGGCTAAGAATAGCAGCATGTGTGCCTCCCTATGAGAGTGGGTGATACAAAAGCACTGCTATGTTTGTAAAGGACCAAAGCCTCACCCTTCTCTTGTCTTGTGAAGTTCTTGAAATACAAATGTTATCTGATAATAGTTTTTCTGAAAATTTGATCAATTCCAAGTGCGTGCATGACAAGAGCAAATAAAAAATAAACCTAAGAAGTGTTCTGTATTCCCTTATAACTTGTAAAGAGCCCCCAACACCTCTTGGGAAACCATTCTATTTCAAAAACTTTGCTTATGTTCTCTCATAGTTCCCCTGCCTTGTTTAATTAAAATTACTAAATGAAACTTGTGTTAGAAAAAACAGAAACTTGGTTCCTTAGGGATTCAGATCCAGTGGCTTATTCCTTTCATGAAACCTAAATCGCGTCCATTGCATCACAGCCATCACCACAACACCTAATGGTGGATTGTAACCGCCAATAAGGAAACAAAGATTCTGCTTTCAGGAGCATCAAAAGGGAAATACCAACAGTGATCTAGGTAGGTGCAGAACTGTCTTTAGGAATACACATATTTACCTGAGACAGCAGTCTCTGAAGATGAAATGTTGATGTTCAACTGCAGAAAGAAATCCGCAGATTTCTGTGGCAATAGGAACTCTTCAAGTTCCAGTACTTTGGTGCCACCTAGTGAAGAGATTTTAAAATGTTATTCGTGTCCATCAATTTTATCTCCTTTTTAAAAGCAATAAATGAAATACTTCAAATCAGTGTAAATCCAAATGAAGATCGCCATCTCTCTTGTTTTAAACAGCCATGAGTATATCATAAATAAAAATTAAATATTCATAGGATAATACTCTCACCAGGTTAGTGAAAGCAAAAAATATAAACTTTAACTGTAAAACAGACTTGGGAATTCGGCACAACTAGGCACTAATCTTTCCTTCTATTAAAAGAAACATGCGCTATTTAAAAAATTGCTTGTCCATGGGCATTTCCCCTTCACTAGAATACCTCCAAAGTAATGGGACAAAAAATCTTAAAGCTCTCCAGGTTCTTGAGCAGGGGAAAGCTTCGTTATAACCAGTGGAGATCTCTCCAAGGACCAAAGCATATTAAGCACTTAAATAAGCACTATTTTGTTCTGAGTCCAACTGGTCTTGCTGTCAGATAAACTTAATATCCATATATTAATACACATAGCTTGCATGCTTGCCATTTATGTCAAGCCTAACACAGCAGTAGGATTTTCAGAGGGATTTGTTCCCTTTAAAATTTAATCCAAGCCACAAACTGCAGAGTGTGGTTTTACCATGGACATTGCTGAAAAATAATGTAAGGTGAGATAAAACATCTAATCCTGAAAGAAGCCCAAAGCCTTCTGTATTACATAATTATACTATCCTATAGATCACACTTACATATCGAGCTATACGGAGACTTGCTAATATAATGTAAAAGATGCACAGTGGGAGTGATTCACTGTCTGGTCAATGGAGGATTGCACTGAACAAGCCCTTAAAGAACTGGCCAGCAGAAAGAGCACATTACTGACCTTATTACAAACTGTTTCAGTAGGGCCGAGAGCAGGCAAGCCAAATTGCATGGGATCCAAGGAAGTGTTTAAGGAGCAAAAGTAGAGCCACCAGGTCTAGACATTGCTAAAGATGCTTGAAGGCAAAGGGTGGGGGGAGGGGGATGGGATGAGGCAGTGAATGGATTTGTTGAAGACTGCAGAGAAGGGCTAGATGAAAGAAGCTGACTGTCAGAGGCAAGGAAGGGACAAAAGAAGAAGCAAGAGGTTGACAGACCGGAGAAGGTAGGGCTGAGTGATTACTCGAAGTAATACTGGCTTTTTTGCATCACAGTGGAATTATGGAGGGGAAATGGTAGCATTACTGGACTGTACATGGAGAATACACCATTGTACATTGTGGCATCTTGATTAGAGTGGGAAGTTGGGATGAGGAGGGTCAGACTTGCTTTGATTGTAAGCTCTTTGAGGTAGGGACTGCCATTTCTTATGTGTTTGTACAACACTGAATACAATGGGGTTGGGGCCTTTAGGTGCTACTGCCACATAAATGTAAAATACTAATAAAAATGAAAGACACTAAAATCACTGGCCTGATGGTCTGTGGGCCGTATGCAGTCGGTGGGTGATAGTCTATGGTCCACACAGAAATATATGTGGTGTGGAGCAGATGGCAGTCAATGTTTCCAGTTTATAGGCAGAGGTAGGGCAGGGACATGAGGTCAGACTTAAGGTTTTGTTAATGGGCAGTGTGATCACTTGCATGTTTATTTCAGCAACTCTGTGAGGTAATTTGAATACAGATTTAACTGCCATTAACTGCTCATTTTCAATTACTGTTTTTTAAGCTGCAACAACCCTTAGCACACACACACAAATAGCAACTTGATCAATTTTTAAAATAGTCTTGCCTGTGATATTACTGTGTGTTCTGATTACACAACTCGGTGACCTGTCCAAATCATGAGTCATATTGGGCCAAGTCCACTCCAGTGGAGCTCCACCTACTGACATGAGCTACTTGCATATAGCCCAATATCTGTAATACCGCTTTTCCATGCAATCAATTAAATTTAGTTTTTTTACTATATGGTCTTCTTGAAATCAATAACCTACTATCCTACTCGCTAAAATGGTATAACTAAAAATATATTTAAACTGCAAATAGCAGCTCACTCAAATCAAAGCCATTCTTACTGCTCTCAGAATAGTATTCATACAACTGTACATGAAAGATGCTAAAAGTGTATCTTAAGTAAATTGCAATTGTCCAATTCTCCGAGTCCTGAAAAGAGCAATTAATATGGATTCTCCTTTGCAGAACTGCTACCATTCTATGAATAATAAAAATAGGGTTAGTAATGTACATATCCCCTTTTTGGCTACATCATCACTTTAAAAAGTGTTTCTTCTCCTAAGAAAATGAATTTAAAAGCCTTCAATGTTAATATATTTACTTAAAAAGCACCCTTTGTTCCTAAGAAAATGTTTAATGTATTTTGATCCAAAGGCAGAGCATTTTCATTAGTGTTCCCACTGTTTTTACATTTGTCCTTTCATGTCCATGCATTAAGGCTCTGTTTAAAACCTGTCTATACCACTAATCTGCCTGGAGAGCTTTTTCTGGATATTCAAAGCTACACTCAAGCCTATAACAAAAAGGGGGAGGGACACAAGACAGAGAGAAGTGTTATGCATAAAGTTCAACACAGCCTTCTCACATAAACACACACAAGACTCTAAACTACAAGGCATGGCATTTCCACAGCAAGCAGTTTCTCTAGACAACTGATTTATTAGGGCCTGTAAAAGCACCTTGAATCTGAGGTCCAGATGCATTCATTCAGGTCTATCATTGCTGCAATCTATACATGATAGAATAAAAAATGCTCTGACTCTCTGATGTGAGTGTGATGGAGACCTGCTAAAGGGCCCAGTGATTCTATCTAAGGCTTAGGTGACAAGTGCATAAACCAGATTACCAGATCCTTCAATTCAGAATCTTTGCACTTGCTTCTATATCTGCTGTGGAGCAACTACTGGCTTAACAACAACAGGTGAAATCCTGGCCCCACAGATGTCAATGGCAAAACTCCCATCAGCATGAATAGGGTCAGGATTCCAAACAAAACTAAGAGCATAACAAACTTTAAGAAATTCCCTGGCCACCTTGAGCTACACACTTGCCCACTCAATGCAATACTATAGTGAGCAGTAGAGTTGTGACAACAGGGATAGAATTTCCTGCTACCAAAGCACTGTCCCCTACCCCAGTCTCCCTTAGCTGACAGCAGTATAGGCCCCATCAGATGAGGATGAGCAGGAACTGAGTGGGACACTGTTTTCCCACCTCGTAAAAATTTGAGATCCCCCCCCCCCCAAAAAAATTCCCATCCTGAATCAAATTCATGAAAATTTGAGGGGAAAAAAAGTAAAAAAAAAACAAAAACAACAGTTCAGTCAAACATTTTTTGGTTTTGAATTTTGACCAATTTTTTTATTCCAATAAATTTAAAAAGTCATTTTGAACTGGAATTTGTCATTGACATGTCAACGTGATTTTTTTTTTATGTGTGGGGTTTTTTGGGTTGGTGTGTTTTGTTTTTTTTTTTTGGTTTTGGCACCACCCCAGCCCCCCCCCCCAAAAAATTTCTGGTCAAGATGTTCTCGAAAAGTTTTGGTTTAAACAAACCAGCATTTTTCAACAAAAAGCCATTTTGGCAAAAAAATTCCCAACCAGCTCTAGTTTTGACCCACCTGATATAGCACAATTTTGGAGGAAAGGATTAGAGGACATGGAAATCTAGGACCAAATTCTCTGCTGGAATAAATGGGCACAAGTCAACTGACTTAAATAGTTTTGCCCACTTGTCATAGCAGAGAATTTTGCCAGACCAGCCTGGACAAATGCATGGATAATATTTCACTCTGAAGGACACATGACAAAGAAACGGTAAATAAATAAAATCACTGATTTTGTCAAAAATATTAGAGATGGAGTGAAACACAAAGTGGCACTGCAGAATGCCTAGAGGCCTAAACAGGTGTTCAACACTGAATAAGTTATTTCTTTTCAAATATACTGTAAATTACACAGGTTGCCATTTCATGCCAAATACAAACTTATAACAGAGTGAGTAAATCCATTTCATAATACTGGATACAAACCCTCAAACTAGTCAGCCTAGGCCTGCATTAGTCTCTGGATTTGTAGTTTCTCCTCTACACAATCATGTTAAAAGGAGCTAATGCTTAATTATGTGCATACACAGAAGGATAAGTACCATTGAGTCTAGATTTCCTGAGCATTTAATTCAAGTAGTCTTTTAAAACTGACTTAGGGGTTGTAAACGTATACTCCCCCTTGCTGCACACACTTATTAATAATGGGAATTGTACTGGAAGGGAAAAATATGCTCTAGCCCGAAAAATATGCTCTAGCCCCACTTTGGCCAAATGTAGATTATTTCAGGTGCACGCTTTTTACATGTGTGTTATATACACCAATCAATACCTTCCAAATTATATTTTGCTGGAAAAACTTTCCCCACAGCCTTATCAGAATGTATTAGATCAACTGTACCATGTAATTATAAAAAATGAATAAGTTAGGTGGTCTTATTCCATATTAATCCCATCAATGTTCTATTTATTCAGTGCGTTCTGCCCTGCCCTGTCCTTTCTGGTATTACTATTTATAATCCTCAGCTCCTCCTGCCAAAAACCTGCACCACCACTCAGTTTCCTTGTAAATTTACTTCCTATCTGGGCTTGCATCTCAGAGGCCAGAAAACCAATGCAATGTTGTACAACAGGACCAAAAGTGTTGCAAGGTGGAGACATTATTGTCCATTTCTTCCCCCCCTCCCAAAAACACATACAGGAATGTCAGGTAGTGGCTTAAGCCTGGGAATTGGGAGGTCTGAAGTCTAGTCACTTATTTTCCCAGTCTATAAAATAGGAATACTACTCTTTCACAGGGGGGTTTTGAGACTTAGTTAACATCTTTAAAGTGGTTTGAAGCACCCAGCTGGAAAGTGCACTAGAAGTGCAAAAAGAAAAGGAGTACTTGTGGCACCTTAGAGACTAACCAATTTATTTGAGCATAAGCTTTCATGAGCTACAGCTCACTTCATTGGATGCATAAAAG